TTGTGATTTGGGTGAAGATTTACAGAGCAAATTCACTTTCCATACAGCAGGTCAGATATACTTTGTCTCATATCATTGACCACAGTTTACCACAATGCAACAGCTCCCCTCCCACTTCCTCCCCATAGTTACCTCTTCCCAGTGTCCATCCCTCCATACACTCCTGTCTCCGGAGCTGTCTCCCTGTGCATAAGCAGCCCTTCTTCCATGATTGTTCTCTCCAAGGAGTGTATCTACCCGAGGTAAATGTTCAACTCATATGCCTGTATTTTGTTTGGCTGGAAACCACAGGTGTGGGTTCAATTCCAGACTTGAGGGGCAGCTAGGGGTCATAGTCTCAGTGGTTCCACCCGGCTCTATCGGACCAGCAAACCTGGTCCCCACCTTTTTCTTTTTCTCCAAATGATTTTGAGTTTTGTTCCACATTGTTCTCCCTCTTTATCAAGGATCTCGTACATAAACGCCCTTCCAAGTGGATGACAGTGGTAGCCAGGCACCATCTAGTTCTTCTGGTCTCATAGTTGTATAGGCTGCAGATAAGGTGAGGAACTTTCATGTGGTTAGCACGATGGTGGGCCAGGGAGCAGCGGCTGGCCTAAGTGGCAAAGTGCAAGGCTGCAGAGGCCACTGCCACCTGGGGTCTGCCCAGGACTGCCCCAACTGGTGGAGGAACAGTGAGGACAACTCTCTGACCATGGAGATCTTGTCTGTACCAACCCACTTCTGTAGGAAATGAGGCTTTTAGGCTTTGTGTATATTGAGCAAAAAGCTTCCAGTAACCACCCCCAAGATGGTCCCTTCTCCATTCTGGGTTTCATGATGCCACCATTTGTTACACAGTGATCCTTAGGCACACAGCTGACACACTGAGATGAAGGATACCAAATGTGAAGGACTGGCATGTACAAGCTGGAGACATCAGTGACGACAGGCAGTCCTCACAGAAACTTAATTGCTACCTTCCCAAGGAGTGATAAGCAAGATGCTACTCACCTGAGCGGCATTATGTGACAAAATTATATCATAGAAAAGAAAATGAAAACCAATTTCCAATACTTCACGAACTGCTGTCAACATTAAAACTAGAGACTGAAGTCCAAAAGAGGAGCTGGCAGTCCCACTGCGGGGCTTTGAGAGCAAGCCAGAAAGTGTTCACCATGCAAAGGCAAAGCCCCTCAGGTTCTGACTGGGCTGTACCCGAGGTTACTTCCACAGGTGGATTCTGCTTGCAAGAACATCAACAAACACTAGAGAATCTCTCCTCTCCATCTGAGTCCTAGCCTCCTCATTCCTCCAAAAAACACCACTCATTACTTTGGTGAACAAATAAAAAGCACACAACTCACTTTTTCCTAGATATAAAGATCGACTTTACAAAAACAGAAAAGAAAAAAGCTCCCGGGAAAAGCTCTCTTTGCAAGGAAGCTAATAACAGAAATAATGCAACCTTTTAATGACAAAGATCACTGGCAAGGGAATTTGGAATCCACACCTGAGTAATCTCAGGGCTCCTCAGAAAATTAGGTGTGATTTTCAAAATGAAATCTTACCTTGTCAAAGGCAAAACAATAAAGTCAGCTGTGAGGACCTTATGGTTATATATTTTTAAGGCTCTGACAATAATGTAAAGTTAGTTGCCCTGTGGGTTCTGCCATTGTTGCTTCCTGGTTTTGGTGCTGGTACAGTTCTATGAGGTTAGCGCTGAGGAGACTGGCTGGAGGGCATGCTGAACCTTGATGTATTATTTTTTGCTATCTCCGTAAATATGTAGCACTTCAAAATAAAAGTTTTATTTTTTAAAAGTCAGTTTTACAGACCTTGATACTCATAACAAAGATGGAAAGGGGTGTGATGGGATAGTCCTAGGAAATAGGTAGAACTTAGACCAATGGCTGAGATTACTTTGAGTTCTGTATTGCACTAAGGCCCCTCTCTGGCCCGCCCTGCCATCCCATAAATTCTGCAACCTCAAAGCTAACTCTTCTGCAAAGGAGTTGTAACTGGAAGATGTCAGCCTAACTCCTTTACTTGCCCTCCAGTCTCTTCTTCCAGTCCCTCCTCCAATTTTATCATCCACTCTTGGATTTTTGTCTAGCCTATAGGACACATAACAGAGTAATGCACCAGTGCAACCATCCTCACCTCTTAAAAAAAAAAAAAAAAAAAGGTAATTCCAACAGCTTTTCTCATTTAGCCAAAAGAATTTTTAAAAAATCTACCATATGAATACCTATATTGGGATTACCAGTCTCCCCTCACAAAAACAAAACAGAACAAAATGCTACTGCCCTCTCCAGACCAGTCTGTTCTGTGTGGAACAGAAAGAAACTGCATATTATATGAATAAGCATTGTCTTTCAAGCAATCTCCACAAGAGGTTATAACCACTGATTAAACAGAGCCACGTGTGATTTGCACACACAGTGAACTCCCTGGATTAAAAACTCATTAGTAATGTCTCAATCACCAAATCTAAACCTGGTGTCACTGTGGTAAAGGAGGCTTGGTAACAAGCAGATCTAGGTTTCAATTCTGCAACTCTACTTGGTAGTTAAAAGCCTGTAATTCCTCATCTGTAAATTTCAGACACCTACCTTGTTGACCTGGTAGGCACTTGACAGAGGTCACCTCCTCCTGAAGGATCAGTGGCACCTCACCCACTTCACTGAAAATTCACTTGAACATCATTGAGATAAGAGCTTTAGAAGATACCTGGGGGAAGTGACATGATTCCTCGTGGCAGAGTCCAAGCTTAGTATATGAAGACATATGTTAGCACCCACAAGCATTGATCAAAAAGTTTGGCATGTCTTGAAGCCATTCAAGGGTTCTGATGATATTCAACAAACACTGTACTTACTATGTGGGCAGGCCGGAATACTCTGATGTGATGGGCCTTGAGTAAGTGTAGTAATTTTACACTCATTAGAGTAATTTTACTCTAATGAGCTATGAAACATTTTCAAACTTGAACTACCTACTTCCCTGAGTTGTAATTTGAACAGCATTCAGATTCTGGTATTTGAGCAGCTGAGATTAACAATCTTTTTTTAAAAATCAAAGTGGCAAACAAGCCATTACGAGTATCATCTGTGGCAGATCTATTACTTAGGAGATGATTTTAACTCCCAGGGATGATTTTATCACAGCCCTTCTTCATTACTGGGAAAGTCATACCTTTATGACATGAACAGTAAATGTGTTTAATCTTATACATAATCACTCTCCAAAGCCAGAAGAGCCTAAAAAGAATATTCCACTTGTTTCTCTGTAATGTTTTCCAATAATAGTAACATAGGCTATTGACCTTACACAACACATATTTAGCAGGAATGTTTTCATTAAAAGAACATTTTCATCCTATTAATATGCAACTCAGAATCTAAATTTGTGCCCCCAAAATATCATATTATTTTCTATAACTGCAAATGATTCTAAAGTATGTAAAACTGAAAATGATTGAGAAGAACTGCTTTTATTTCTAATTACTAATAACAATGCAACTTACTGATACAAATTATGGCAAGTGAACTGAACTAAGTAAAGCTTACATTTTATTTAGGATGCACTTAAAATACTTTATGCCTTTATGGTTACATTTCCCACAATAAGCATTAAATACCAAGTACACTCCTTCCCAACAATCTACTCCACCTCCCCACCAAAATCAAACAAATGAACAAAACACACTTTTCTGTAACAGTTATTTTAAAATCATAAGGATTGCACTCATTTCTGGTTTCCAGACCCATGGCACTGCTACATGCTGCCAAAAATGCCTGGGTTTCAACACTGCTAGATTAAAATTGCTGGCATTTTTAAAACCACATCCAAGCTTTTTACAATGCTCTCATTTCGAGGAGAACAAAGAAAAAAGCAATGTGAATAGATTTTTATGTTAAAAAGGAGGGGAAAATTCAGTGAAAAGAACATGCAGGAAAGTTATGGCAATACAGAATTCTATTCGGTGCTCAATAAAACTAAAGGTTAAGAAGCAATATATCATGCAAATGAAATAATTACAGAAAGTCAGGGATAATCTTGCTGGAATAAAATGACTTTAAAAGGAGCCAATGTTTACCAACAGAAATATTTAGTCCAATCTAATTGCTCAGGATCTGATGAGGTACATGTAAATGCATAAGTATATGTGTTTATAAATAACTCATCAACTTTTCCCCAACATGATCCTAAATTCTGAGAGTGAAAGATGATACTGCAGAGTAAAATTTTACAGAATCTTGTGTATATATATTAAAAAAAGAACAGTTATGGATCGAAGAAAAAATGATGGGGTTTAATGAAAATTACACACACAGAATTTGGACTACCTGGATAAACTAAAACAATAAATATAATTTCTACTTGTACTACATCAGAAGTGACTCACTGCTGGCCAACATGTATATAGCCTGATTGCTCTGAAGAATTCATACTACTTTAAACGTTTAAAAAAAGTACCCTGATATTCATGATTCAATGTGTTATGAACATTATCTTTAATTGATGCTATGCTTAATTATATTAATTTCAAACACTCAAATGTCATAGGGGGAAAAGGTCATTTCCTGGATATATACTTAGTGTCTGTCTGTATCATCTTGTATGTCTAAAAGTATCAATGTTTCAGCAGTTTGTGTAGTGGTTGAAAAGAATGAGACAGACCCTGGGGAAAAGTGAATTAGATTCTTAACAGTTCTAGAAGAAAGCACTAACAGATTTAGTGCTGGGGAAAAGCAAAGTAAGAAAGTCTATGGTGTGTTCCAAATGTCTATCATTACTAACCAATCATCACCTCATCTCTGATGCCCCTAATCTGACTAAGCAGTGATCAAATGTCCCTAGTCCTGTTACAAACAGGTGCGATCTTGGTATACTATCCAACAAGATTTCTCCTACCTAATGAGTGTGTAAAACCAAAACACACAGAACACAGGACTGTGCTCCAATGTTGCATGAGCATTTGGTGCAAAAGTGTGCATGTGTCTGTTAAGTCCAGGCTAGTGATTCCCTTTGGTCGACTTCTTCTTCTTCTGCTCCTCTCTCTGCTTCTGCTTCTTCCTCTTGCCACCTTCTTTGAATCCTAAGAAAACATGGCTTGTAAAACACTGTTCAGAACAGTAACTGTTTCCCCATTAAGAGGCAAACATGTTTTCTAAATATTTCCCCATGTTAAAAAAAAAAAGCAACAAAACGTCTTATATCTTCACTTCTATCTTGTCCACTTCTAAACCTGAATTAAAACATGAACTCACATTTCAAATTGCACATTGAAAACCTTTAAATTATTCAAAGAACTTCAAAACCAGTCATATTTTCTGTAATGAGCAAACACAACTAAGCATTTGAGGAACAGCTTCCTTCTTCACCCAAGCAGCAAGGTTTAAGAAACTAGCTCTGTTGAATTAACTAATGAAAAGTCTTCACTTCAGTCCTCAAACTCTCCATCCTTGGTCCTACCTTCAAAATGGACATAAAAACCTCCTTAGTAGCCTAGTCTATAGCAAAGCTGTTTCCAACTCTGCTAGTGGGGTTTGGGAGCATCTCACTGGCTTCCTCCGTGACTGGCTAGATCACAGATCCCACTCTGCTGGCGGAAGCCTGGCTATGGATTAGGCTCACTTCCACAGGTGCTGTGGGGTTCCACATGAGAAAGTTTTGCATTTCTTAATTTGGGGACAACCACCTTTCATTTTCCCAGTCTTCTATGCTTGAAGTCAACAAGTACATGACGACTTATCTAAGAGTCAAGAAAAATGTATGTGCACATTCACTCTCTGAAGATTTTTCCAAAGACCCGTGAATAAAGAAGTGACTTCAACTTTGCAGCAAATGTCTTACATTTTTTTCTTTCCTCAATCAGTCCATATTGATGTGAGTGGGGAAGCTGCACAATCAAGCCCAGGAAATCAGCCTAATGTTTTACGTGGGTAATAAAAGAACTGGGACCCAATACAAATGTCTTGATTGGAATACCCATTACAAAAAGATGAGCGGGTCACTGCAGTGCAGGTCTGTGATTCAACATTCTGATCCCTAAGCCAGGTGAAAAGATCATCTAAAAGGATTCTCAAATTTTTTGATTATAGAGTCACTGTTTTATAAGCAGACACTTGGAACATAATCATCTACCATCCACTGTCCAGAGAGAACTCAGATGAACAGTCTGTTACTAGACTTTCCATTACTAGAAAGGACCATTCATCTCACCTAGGAACTCACCTTATTGTAGAATCTCAATCACTAGGTATACTAGATTTCTTATCAGACAGATTGTATTTTGTAGGACCCAATGCATAAAATCAACCTACAACTAAAGCATAACACAAGTCTTATGCTTGGTTAATGACCATCCTATCAATAAACAAGGACACCTGCCTTTATTAAGAAGGTGAAAGTCTACCATTATGGTTTGCTCATGTTATGGAACTGAAATGAAATATACACAAAGCCCTTTTCAAGCAGGGAGCCCTATTCAGAGCCCTTTACTAAGAAATAAGTAAAACACTGTTACGACTTCATTGGTTACTTCATGTCCCTCAAATAAACCCAAGGCTCTAGGAGGGTCCCCCTCAAGGTCTCATCTAATTGGACAGGATGATGATCTAATCCACACTCTTTAGCCCCGACCAAACATTCACTACACTTAGAACCCTGGTATCAGGATGCAATTTTACCTCATCCAGTAAAAAAAGACTGAACATTAACACAGGCTCTAACTGCTGGATTAGGAAGGTGGTGGCAGCAACAATGGTCCCTACTTTTATTATAAAGATTAAAGTTGAAAGGCAGTGTTCTAAGCTACTTCCTAATCTTAAGGTCTCTGGGAAATGAGATCACCAGGGAATATATTGGCTTGAAGCAAGTGTCCATGGAAGACTGGCAAAAGTAGCTCTATTTCTTATTCTTTCTTCCTATAAACTCCAAACCTTATAACCCAAAAGTTGGCCCACAAAATACTCCTTGATATAAGTCTTACCAGATGTCTTAAAACTTTGGAAGTTCAAGGACCCAATTTCTGGTTGTTCACCCCATTTTCTAGAAGCTGCCTGCAACTTGATTCTATAGAACCTGGGGTCAAAAAAAACTGCACTTTGGAAAAGGTGGTGATGTTTGGAAGCAACAGAAGGGAAGAAAAGTCAAGAATAACACCCTTCAAGGCAGCAAAGATAGAACAATTTTAACCTTGAAGCTGTGTGACAGGACAGAGCCTGATTTGTCTATGTGTCCATGTATTTTGGATCCTCCATGTCTTAGGATATCTTGCTGCATTGTTACATGCTTGTTTCCTAGGTGATTAAACCACAAAAACTAAATACGGTGGCTTCAGGTGCCCAAACCAAAGCTCCTTCCACAAGATTAAATTCTAGTAATTAAAAGACAGTAGATACAAATGGAGGGCGACATCGGGAAAGATGCATATTTGGTCCCAGATGGGTCTTTTAGTGAAGAAAACCTCCAAAATGAATTGCTTCTGTAATTAGTTCCCAAGTTCAGCTTTGAGTCATGCAAGTGAAAGTTAAGTGGTTATCAAAGCAGGGAAGAAGTTTATAAATAATGGCAAACTAAGTACACTGATAACTCCATTAACAGTGAATTAAATTTAAAAGCTCTCATGTGTAGTTATCTGGAAACTCAATTGATTAACAGGATGACATCATAAACCAGGAGGTGAGAAATGGAGACATTCAACAGTGGCTTCCTAGCACATTTTTAGTGGCTTTAAATAAACAAACAAACAAAAAAGTTTTACCATGCAAGGAGATGGAATGGCAACTTTCCTCCCACCAAATCAGTAAAAGTGGTATACCTGCCTAATCCACTACTTTCTTTTTTTTTTTTTTTTTCAGTTTTTAAAATCTACCACTAACTGGTTGGGCACTGACTCCATTTACTTTCCACTAAGACTCAGGAAGTAAATGCAAGTGGAAGTAAGAAAATTAAAGTGCTTTCTACCTATACTCTCCCTGCATCATCCCTGTGATAAAGATGTATGACATGCCAGTCATTTCACTTACAAACTCAATGATCTCAATGATCACCACCAAAGGGTGGAAAAGTTTGGTGAGAGGGGAAGCAAAAAGACCAGGAAATGCTCCTGGAAAACTCGCTCCTAGAAAAATGATGAGGGAAAAGGGGAAAGAGCTTGAAATGCTGGTATAAGAGTTGAAAGTAGAAACCAGGGATGTTCCCCACCGACCTTTCTCCATGACCATTCCATTGTCTTTAAGGTTTCTGCCTTCCAGTGGAACACTTGCACTCCCCGTTCTCCTATAATAAAATCCTAACATTTGTTCTAGAAAGGACTTCAAAGCCTCTTCATTGTATAGTTCTGGAATATGAGGGCCTGAGACCAAAGTAATTTACCAGAGAGCACTTATTAGTGAAGTAGAAGTTAAATAGCTAAAATTATAGACACTGAAAAGCAAAAAGAATGGAGGCTCAGGAAAGCTGAGCACAGTTCAACGGAATTAACGGACAGCAAAAGAGACCTAACATACAGAGCATGGGAATTCCAGGAGATGAAAGTAAGAGATGAAAAGAATATTTGAAGAAATAATAGTAGAAAAATTTCCCCAATCTCCATCAAAGGACATGAAGCTCAAAGAAGCCCAAATAGGCTAAACCTAAAAAGATCAACACTAAGACACATTGTAGTTTAAAAAAAAAACCACTCCCATCCTGCCATCAAGTTGATTCCAACTCATAGCAACCCTATAGGGCACAGTACAACTGCCCCATAGGGTTCTCAAGGCAGTAAATTTTTAGAGAAGCAGACTGCTTCATCTTTCTCTCACAGAGCAGCTGGTGGGCTTAAACTGATGACCTTCTGGTTAGCAGCCAAATGTTTTAACCACTGTGTCACCAGACCTTGTGACACCATAGTTAGGCTCTTAAAAGTTAAAGAAAGAATCCTGAAAACAGTGAGAGAGAAGCAAATAATCACAGAAAAAAAGAATCCTCAGGAAGATTTTGTGCTGATTTTACTTCAGAAACATTAGAGGCTAGAAGTCAATATTTAAAAAGCTGAAAACAAAAACAGTCAACCAAGAATACTATATCCAGTGAAACTATCCTTCAAGAATGAGGGTAAAATTAAAACATTCTGAGACAAACAGAGGCCAAAAGAGCTCATATCCACCCAACTGGCCATACCAAAATTATTATTAGGAGTTACGTACATGAAAGGAAAACATACCAGAAAGTAATTGAAAATTATACATAAAAAGACTCCCTAATAAACAAAATTGCATAGACAAGTATAAGGGCTAGTAATAAGGTATTCCTGCTTGATCATTCTGTATGATTTGTCTTTCATGTTTTTTCATAACAAATATATAAAAGACAAGGATAAAATTAGGTTACAGGACACAACAAATATAAACACATCAGTGATAATAACATAAAAGAAAGGGAAGAGGAATGGTATATAGAATTTCTTATATATTACTGAAATTAAATTGGTACCAAATTACCCTAGAATTTTATAAATACAAACTCTTAAATATAATATTCATGGTAACCACTAAGAAAATATATAAAAAGCATCCACAAAAGGAAAGAAGAAGGGAACAAAAAAGGTTCACTACTATAAACCAGTAAGACAAAAAAGCAAGAAGTACTAAAGGACAAAGACAAAGAAGGCTTAAGACACACAAAAAACAAGTAACAAAATGGCAGAAGTAAGTCACTGCTTATCATTAATTACATTGAATGTCAATGGGCAAAATGCTCCAATCAAAAGGCAGAAAGTGGCAGAATGGATTAAAAAACATGATCCAACTATATGCTGTTTACAAGAGACACACCTTAAACTCAAGGAATACAAGTAGGGTAAAAGTGAAAGAATGGAAAAAAAAATTTCCACAAAATGATAACCAAGAAACCTGCAGTGGCAATCTTAATATAAGACAGAGTACCATATGACCCAGCAATTCCATTCCCTAACAATACACCCAAAAGACTTGAAAGCAGAGACTCAAAAAGAAATGTGTACACATCAATGTTCACTGCAGCACTATTCACAATAGCTAAAAGGTAGACACCTAAATGCCCATGAGTAGATGAATGGATAAACAAAATGTGCTACATAAACAATGGAACACCACTAAGGCAGAAGGAAAAATAAAGTCTTGACACATGCTACAGTATGGATGGAACTTGAAAACATTATCCTCAGTGAAATAAGTCAATCACAAAAGGACAAATACTTATGTTCTCACTTATATAAAAAGACAAGAAAATGCAAATATATAGAGAACAAAGTTTATTAGTGGTTACCAGGGGCAAGAGGGAGGACAGAAAGGGAGGTAACAGTGATAGAAAAGTCACATTGATTAAAGGCAGAGTAATTACTGTAAATTGTACACCTGTAAAATGTCAAATTGGCAAAAGTTGTGTGATACATTTACAAAGAAAAAAAAAAAAAGTTGTGCTAGGGCTACTTACATACAACCAAACACCTCATGGGATTTGGTTCCTTGGTTTGGAGGTTTAGGGTCATGGTTTCATGGGACACTCCAGCTAACTAGCCTTACAACGTATTTAGTGCTTCTATTCTACCTCTTAGTTCCTTACATAGTGCCTGGGGTCTTAAAAGCTTGCACACTGCTATCCAAGGCACAACAATGGGTCTCTTATTTGCCTGGAACAATGGAGGAAAAAAGAGAATCAGTAATAGGAGGATATGAAATGTGTGGAAAATTGCCTCCATAATGAACAACTACCTCCTTTGCCATGAGACCAGAAGAATTCGAGGTGCCCAGCTACCATTACTGAACATTTTGATCAAAGATTCCATAAAAGAATCCTGATCAAAAAGGGGAAAATGAAGAATAAAATTTCCAATTCCCATGTAATTCAGACTTTCTGGAGCCATGAAGGCTAGATAAACAAACTATTACCCTGAAATCATCTTTAAACCTTAAAACAAAAATATCCCCTGAAATTACCTTAAAACTGAACAAGTTTAGCTTAAATACTGGTATATGTTTTGCTATGTATAGTCTCAACAATAACAAAATAAATAAAATTTGTAAGGAAAAAAGGTTAAAGGATCAATTTTATTCTTTCATTTATGAATTTTTTTCATTTTAAGTTTTATTTTCCCTTTTAATGTTTTTGATGTGTGGAATTTATAAATGAAAAATACTATAATCCTTTTTCCAAATTTTACTTTATGATTTACTTGTTCCATGTGACACCCAATATGTAACATATAATTGCCTCTGCCATCTAAAATAAAACAGGGTAAGTTTTAAAGAGGGTTAGTAATTTAATGTAATAGCACATTCAACAAAATGCCAAATACAAAGTCAAATCTGCATTGTATTTTAATTCCACCACTTTTGTAACATTGACACAAGTTACCTAAACAATAAACTCAAGCTGAAAATAAAATTACCACTCATTATTTTATTTCCAACACCAAACATTCTTAGATTACTTTAGTTGCATCCTGATACTGAGTTATATTAGTCATGCCAAAAACATGGGAAATTTTCACATAAGCAATATAGTCAATATTTTGAGTAGTACATCTCAAGTGAGAGCTAATTTTCAGCCTAGAAACATTACTTGTAGAAACTATGGAGACACTGTTTATCCATACCTCACTCGGACTCAACAAGCAGGAGCTTCATGAGTGATGTCAGGCAGTCTTCTAAGTCTAATGAATGGTCTGATGGGTTAAGCAAGACTACCCAATACTGTCTACGCTAACTAAGTTCCTGGTTACGTGTTTCTTTTTAAGAAAAATTACAAATAAGGCAAAAAATTTAATTGCATGGGCTTTTAAGGCCATACCAAAGTGTACAGAAGCCTGCATGGAGGTCATCTATCTCTAGGGTGATCAATTATTCCGTTTTCCATGACTGAGAGATTTCAGCAAAGTCTCAATATGAGTCTCTAGGAAGGGAAGGCATTTTGTTCAACTTACTCTTTATTATCAATTAGCACCCAGACTTGAAGTTAGATTAATAAAGAGTGAATGATATTTGTGTGGTAGAGATGCAAATTATTCTGCTGGTAGAAAAAGATAATGTTAAAGTTATGGTTTTATTGCTCTGTGAGGCATTAATCAGTTTTTTGTCTAACTTTGAAATTTTATCCCAACACACTTTTTTTCTACTCTATATTAGTTTCTTGAATGCTCCTTTGAAATAGCTTTGTCATCCTCAAAGAGTTGACTGTATTCACTACATATTTGTATGGAAAGTATGTTTCTAACTTTGATGTTTTTACACTGACCTCATAACATGACTGAGAAAAGGAAACAAACAATAACAAAAATAAAAATAAAGAAAAAGAGGATGTTTCCAACCACATTTAGATAAACTAAACCTGCAGGAATACAAAGTAAAACCTTCAACCTTGTCTACAGACAGGTGAAAAGAATCTGGTTAAAATAAATATATTATTGAGCTTTTTTGTATAACGATTTGAATTTTGATTCACAAGTTAACTAGTTTTCCCCACTTGAAAAAAAAGTAAGAGATGAAAAAAAAAACTGATAAAACAAGTAGATTTGAGAAGAATTCATTACTTTTTACTTTTTTCTGCATTCATTACTAATACCGACTTTCCACAAATCGCCAAGCTGTGTGTGGCAAGTCTCTTTCATTCAATAGGCATGGACTTTGGGAATCTACACAAATTAAGTGCCTACAGCAAAGAAGCCAGTGTCTAGTTTTGAAACAACAATATGCCCTTGGTAGCCCTGTGCACTTGCAATATTTACTCTTTCTGCAGTAAGCTTCCTAGGCATTTAAACAATGCATCTCTCCAGGCAAGCCTGTACCTGCACAACTTCTTTTGGGGGCCTGAGAAATTATGACATATATAGTAGACCAGGTTACAGTGTCCTTCCAACCTAAATGGACTCAGCCTTTTAAGTAACAACAAAAGAACACCAATCTACTATGGCAATCTAACTTGTTCCTTGATAAGACCCCTTTATATAACACTACCTCTTCCTCAGCCCAACCCAATAGCAGGAGTTGACAGGAACTCCTGGGAAAACTTTCTCATGTCCATTCAATGCAGAATTAAATTCACTCTACATTCATACACGCCCTTCCAACTGCCTCTTACTTCTCATTCAATTACACAGGAAAAGGCTAATGTCTCCAAATTGTCCATCTGCTTTTGTTGGCAACTCTCCACACAGAGCTTATTAGGGGTGTCTGCAGCAGCACTACAATTGGGTGCCTGTCTATCATCATAAAGCCTCAGGAAAACACACCTTCAGGAGAGTAAAATGTGCACCAGAGAAAACCACTGCCATTACTGTTAATGTTACCTTTTCTTTTGTCCACTTCAAAACCATAACATATGATTTGGGTAAGGGATAAATATAGAAACTCTGCATTATCTAAGAAGGACTGATTTTAAGGCACTGATTTTCCAATAAAAACTACTGGGAGAACAAATAAACCCTCATTCTTTAGGTTTCTGCTTAGACAATATTACTTTGCCCCAAATCCAAAGAATTACTTCATATACCTAAAAGTAAGCACCAAGTATCCATACATTCCTCCAAAACATAATTTGGTATGGTCAACTCAGCTACTTACATTGATGGGAATGCATACTTTAAAGTAATAATTCAAGCAAAATTTATATTTGGCTTTAGAATGCAGTTATGTTCAAATCTATATGCACAGCCACTCCTTCATAGAAAATCCAGAATTATGGTGAACTCATTGCACAGGCTCTGTAAGAAATCTATAATCAAGCACCTGGAAGACAGCAGAGCCCAGGTTACAAATAAATGAGACCATTAGCACCTGTAGCACCTGCCAGAGTTGGAAGGAGACTCAAGGTTTCAAATGTCATATATACTTTGTCTGTATAGTGAAACCAAACAAATCATACTGTTTCTACAGGATCTGACTCTGGCAGGGGTGGGTGTAGAAGTAGGGGTTTGTTTTGTTTTGAACCAAACACAAATAAAGGCACAAGAAGGTAAAATTGATCACCTAGGGGTAGGAAACCATTTCGACATTGAGATTCCACAAATTGTCCATTAGTTATAAACTTTCTGCTGATAGCCCAGACCCAAGCTACACCTTATGAAGAATCCTTGTACACTTGCATGCATTCTCTTGGTGACTGGCCTCTGGGGCATGTGTTAAAGGTAAGTTACAGAGATCTCAAGCACTAAGTTGAAAGTTATAAAAGGCAGAACCTGGGAGCATTTAAGGTAAAATCAGCACCTTTGCTCCAAGACAGTATACTTCATACACATAGAAGACTGTGACCCCATTTTAATTATGGAGGAAGTTTTGAGCCACTGAGGTTAAAGATCACTTGAAGGATATCCTGGGAGGTGAGCAAGGAGCATACAAACTTTCTACCCAGACTCTTGTTCTAACCAGACTTTTATCTGCTCATCCCCAATAACTTCCCCCTGTTCAGGTCAAAACACAACAGCACAGGGATGCTTTCTTTCCTCTTTTTCCTTGTGAGTTAAGAGAAGTATCAGTTTTGGTTTGCTCCACATTAGTTTCCCTTTGCACACCTGTTGAAAAAACGGAGGGATCCCAGCTGCTGGTAACCCGAGGTCTATCTTGCTCATCATCGTCCTCACAAATATAGTGAGATCCGTGTTTGGAAAAGGCAGCAGGTCTGTGAGACTTCAATGGGCGGACATTGGTGGGCTGGGAGGGCAGGGCATTCTGTCCTCTTCGCCTGCATTCTTCTGCAAAGGCATCTGCGTCTGTCACACCTGGAAGCATACAATTTAAGAGGGGAAAGTGAGCTTGGCATTTTGGGAAGCAGCTGTCACTCTACTCAAAAAGCAATGGAACTTACACTTCTCTGGTTTTGAAGCTAAAGGGTAATCACACATTCCTAGGTGATCACCATCATCTACTTTAGCAATATTTCTGGAGTAGGAAAAGAAAGAAATGATCTCAGTTCATCAACTGCAGTATTGGGACCTGTACTTAGCCTTCCAGGAGAAGGAAAAGAGAAAAATAGTCATGAAAATCAAATGTATTTCTGCTCCTGAAATAAGCAGCTCATCAATCCCAACCCTTACAGCCTATCAGTGATTTTTGAAAGCACAAGTGACATCTATCTTTTCCTAGTGATTATATACTATCAAAATCATTGTCAGGGACTGACAATGCCTGACAAATTCATTGTGAAAATCAATCTAATGCTATCATCCTGCAAAGAAAAGGCAATAGATCCAGTCAGTGATTTTATTTTCATGCAGCTTTAATTCTAGACTCTATGCACATTCACTGACACAGAAATTATTACCTCTCCATCGAACATAAAAATAAGTACGTTTTCATAGAGGTGGTGACCTATTAGAAATAAAACCACTGCAAGATTTGTGTACATCAAACTATCCTATCCAATTACAGTACGTGTTTCCCAACTCATTCCAAACAGACGTACTAAAATTTCTGACCTGAGTCAAGCAGTCTCATACACTTGTGGTCTGTAGTATCACACAGGCATTCAAGATATACTTATTTCTGATTGTCCCTAAATTTATTTCCATTAATCTTTTGAAAAAGAAGTTTTGCACATCGAGTGAGTATTAGGAATAAAATAAGAAAGCAAATGTTTATATTTACTGAATAATTTCAACTATGATTCTCTTGAAGTCTCTGATTGGCAGTCACATCATGGACACAGAAGAAAAAAAGCACTGTTAGAACTCCATACTAAAATTATAAAACTCTGCATCTGATGCCAAAAAGGATTCCCAAAGAATCAAATGTGTGTTTATTTTCTAATGAGCAGCTGTCAACAAATACCTTTTAAACACCAGATCATTACACCTAGTGCTTAAAATTCTGAGCCCTAAGAAGGTGACCTAGAAAGTCACCTTTCTTTTTCAGTATTAACTGAGACAGGGCACCATCCCACAGCATTCTTACTCTTGTATAATACACTTTCTCCTCATTTACTGGCTCTTCTGTCATTCCCAATTTCCCCCAACCAAACCATTCATTACACAGGTGTCATTTTCTCACTTTAACATTCCTTGAAATAAAATGTAGTAAGAAATAAATGTAAGTTTTTTTGTTTTTGTTTTAATTATTTGTACACTGATTTGTATCTGTGTGCAAAATATGTTGCTAGAAAAATAGGGTTTGCCCTCAGGAGCCTAGTTTAAGCTGTATCTTTAGCATCATTAAAGTACATCTTATCAATATAATTTTTGAATTCAAAGGACTGGTTCCCAAATGAAATCTCTCTCAGTTACTTGGACCACAGCTGTTTCCTCCTCAAACAGAAGTACCAGCCATTGGAGACCATGACGACACTGACGGTAGATGAAAAAAGGCCACTTTCCTATAGAGAATCTTACCCAACAACACAAAGTGTAGAAATTCATTTTTTAAGAAATACTAAGACTGTATAATGCATATTCTGTGGCTTACAGGTTTTCCAAATTAGAGGTTAATTAAATCTCAAGTTGGTCAGAACAGGGTGTTAAGTCCTATAAAACCTTTGAATCCCCTATAGCACTAAATAGAATGAGTGTTCCATAAATGTGCTCAACTGTTTCCTAGAACTCAGTCACTATAACACTTAAGAAAAAGACTCACCTAACTAGCAGGTCCCAAATTTTCATCATTTATACCAATCATCTCTCTCCATCATTTGAATATAAAAAAGAGCAACTGTTATTTTTGGAGCCATTTAACAAAGTAACTAAATTATTTTCAGTGCTGCAAACAGATCAAACAAACTGGGAGGAAGTGATTGGTGACCTTATACACAACATATACAGATGTCACCGTATCATTAGATGTTTACAATATCATAACTGCATTTTTAACATCCCATCCTACATGTCCTCCCACATAAGCCCCTTTGAGAAGCCCTGACAAGGCACACTGTACAGTGAATAGGGATTCACTGCATTTTTCTCAAAATCAAATACAATTATTGAGCTGAGGAAACTAGACCCAGTTGTCTTTTTGGTCTGAAGTACTTCACTCATGGACTCAGGTTCCTCACCTGTAAAACATAAAAGCTGGTCTGGGTGATTTCTAGGACACTTTGTTGTTGTTGTTTGCCATCGAGTGGGCCCTGACTCATAGAGACCCCTCCTTGGGTTTCCGAGGCAGTATCACTACGGAAGTAGGAATGCCCAACCTTCCTTCCGAGGAGTGGCTGGTGGGTTTGAACCGCCAGTCTTCTGGTTAGCAGTCAAGTGCCTTAGCCACTGTGCTACCAGAGCTCCTTGTAGGACCCTTACAGATCTACAATTCTCTGACTTTGTTGAGTCAAAGAAAACAAACAAAAAAATCAGTAGTGTCACAGATTTGAACATAAGCATCATACACACACAGAGCCCTTCTAAATACCCTTCTTAGCAGGAGGGAAATGCTTAAGGGAAGACCAAAAAGGTTTCCTGGGGAAGATCTAATATCAAGCCAAAAGTTGAGAGAGCAATTAGGAAGTAATTTCACCTCACAAAGGGCTTCTGTGAAATGCAATACTCAGCAATAAACATTACAGAAAACACACCCTAAGGATGTTCCCACCTACTTGGAGCCTTCTGAGGGAGGATCCATGGTGTAGTGAAAATTCCTGTTACATGGCTAATTCTTTAAATTGAAGATTTAGGATTTTACTTTGAAAGCATACAAGGAAATTAAAAGACGGGGGAGAAAGTGGGTAAGTTCTGGCCATGAGGTTTCCATGTGCTCACCTGGCTGCATCCTGTGATTCATGTGTTCCCCCTGGTGATGAGTCACAGCCCCGTCACTAGGCACCCTACAGGTGGCAAACAGTCACCCCAGAAACCAAGAAGAAATGCTTTTAGCATTAAACATTACCCAAAGCATATGGTCAGCTTCTTTCCACCTTGGAAGGAAAAAGAAATTGGATCCTATGTAAATAAAAGCAGGATATGTAGAACATGGACTCAAAATGTTCAGATTCCTTGGGTTTAAAACTACTAGCCCATCCTCTGCTTCTGGTAGAAGAGCACGTAATAATTTTGATGCAATTTTTAAAAATTACACTTTGCCAAGTGTAAACTGAAGAAAAAAAATGTAAGCTTTAGTTATGTGGTTCACTGAATACTAACTAATAGCATTTTTAAAACCCATTTTTGTTTTCTAAATAGTGATGCCCTTTGATGAAAGTGGAGGTGTAAGCATTACAATCTTATGACTGATTTACTGGAGAGCTGGGGCCAAACCTCTTTACATCAATGCACTTACCTCACTAGCAGCCAGGAAGCATCAAGTATTTCAAGTAAACTCAGAATCAAGCCTTTCCCTATCAATTCATTCAGTTACAATCCACTCTAAGAGTTCTGGCTCATTTTGCTTTGGGAAACTCAATCTCCAACAACTATTTGTCATTCAAATTTTGCTTGTGCAGCTGCAACTACAAATGACACTTACCTCCCCTACTCCAAGAATAAAAACTTATCTGAATAGATAATTGCAGAGTTATGTTTTCCTCCTTTCCAGTGTATGGAAAACCTGTCATCTGGTTCTTCTCTATTATTGGTCTTTAGTGGAACCAGTTTACAAGTTAAAACACCACCAATGGACACAAGTTTTCAAAGTTTCTTGCATCTCAGAGTTGGGCTGGGTCAATCTGGGGTTAGGCAAGCCATTATCTCGATAAGAAAACTCAAGGCTTTGTATGGTTTCTATTGTCACAGGTTGTATTTACCAGGCTCCAATTTTCCCCATGTACAGAAACAGACTTGCTTTTACAAGTATTTAAACTTACTGTTTAGAAAATAAAACACTATGATGTTAAGCTTGGTATTTTGAAACCAAATATACAAACACACCAAATACACATTCAATGTTTATGGTAAACTTTTTGTTATCTCACCAAACCAGACAGTAACCTTTTGGGGCAAAGGCACTGTGTCTCTTACGATATGTAAGTAATTCAAATGACTGAAGAGATTATTAGAATTCAGGGAAACCATGGGCAATACATATGAAGTCATATGAAGTTTGTCTTTAAAGAGGGAAAAGACAAAGGCCTTAGATCACACCAATGATTTAAGGACACACTATCATTAATTAAGCAATGCACTTTTTTACCTGTATGTCTATCATTAAAGCCCCACTTCACCTATTTCTTACCTATTATTTCTCAATGGAAAGCTTCAGTGCTACCTTAGTAAATCTCTGAATGCTTACCTGTGTTGCTTTTCTTACCAGGAAAGCTTTCCTTCCCCACTCATCTTGATCCTATGCAAATCCTATTCAACATTCAAGCTGTAGTAGGTCTCATACAAGTCTGGAGAGACAGAGTTCCTTTCTCTCAGTTCCTACTGCACTACAGCAGGAATTTTCAAGTGATTAGTGTGCAGCCAGGGTTGAAGACAGTAAAACCCTTTTTGAAACAAGTGGTAGGGATGCACATTAATTTAGCACCTAACTGCCCCGTATGACTGTCTTACTATTTATCACCCCAACCCCAATCCACCATCACCATCACATCATTTTTATTTTCTTAAGTTTCTTTGGAAACTTACAAACTTGCCATTCCTTATCCAAAAGTCAGTAATTCTTATATTTTGAAGATAGGCATATTATACCCAAGGACAATCAAGTCATCAATTCCACAAGGTATCCCATTAAATTACAGTTTCTGAAGTACCATGAAAGGTGATTTGGGGAAAAGAAATAGGTGGAAAATGAAATCCAAGGATTCAATAATTTCCTTATCCAAACTTCTCAATGGACATTTTCTGGAAAGAATCATTCAGTATCC